AATACTTCAAATTAGTCAAAAATTTAATTCAAGTTAACTTAAAAGTAAGTTTTTCAGAGAGAGTAGTTCAGATCCTTTGCTGTCGGTCGACGTAAATTTTTTGCTTATATTTGAATGTTTATTAAAATTGTCTTTGAAATGAGCCTTTATCAGAGTAAATACTTAAATTTGCGTTATATTTTGTTCAATAACGCGCGTCAACCTTGTTCTCCGGTAAGTTTACTGCTCTGACCTGTTCTAAAGACCCTGTGAACCATTTTTGATTCCTTCACTCGAACTTTTTAGGCAAACTAAATCTAATTCATAAAAGAATTCTTGCTAAATCATGGAATCTACACTAGTGGAGAAAATTAAAAGAAAATTCAGGTTTTTACTTATTAAATTGCCTAATTTTAGTTACAGTTTTGAACACACATTATACTTTTACCAAAATTGGTACATGGATCGAAAGCAAAGAATCTGAATTACTTTTTCTGAAAACCTCCATTTTTTAATTGAACAACTTACCAGTTTACTCTGGGTCTGAAAAATTGCCAGTTTTACCAATCGTAATAAGTTTTTAATGAATATGAACACTTTTTTGAATAAACGGTGTGAAAAAAATTGGTCACAAATTATTTCAAACAAGATAATTGCATTGCTCAGCGTAACAACTTTCCTCAAATCTGGTGTTTCTTTTTACTTCTCACCGTTGGAAAAACATAATATAAAAAAGTAACAACTGGCATTTTCAGAAGCGGAGTAAAATGGTTAACGCTTCCAATCAAAAATTGAGACTTTAAGAGAGGGTAATCAGATTATTTGCTGACGGTCGATTTGAAAACTTTGGTGAAACTCTAACTAAACTTGTTCATTTTTTTTTCCAAAAGGCAGTTTAAGAGTAAAAATCTACCTTTTTGTTTGGTTTTGTCCACTAATATATCAATTTTTCAAGTAGTAATGTTGCAAAAGCTTTACTTTGCAAAAGTGAGCTAATCAGGACAACAAATGTCAAGAAGTGAACAAATTTTGAGATGCAAAAATTGTTGCTTATCTGGTATGAAACATGAAAAGAAGAAAAAGGCAAATGAAACACAGTAGCTCAGTATGTTTCATAGTATGTTGCCATATTTGAAAAAATATTATTTGAATTACAAGTATAAAACTTGAAAACTAGTGTAGTATATGTAAAAGTAGTGCTTCATTTGTAATAGTGCAATATCTTTCCTAGAAGACTAAACCGAAACCAATTAGAAATATAAAATTGCGTGCTAGCGTGAACACTTTTTAAAATGCTTTTTTTCTTTCAGTTTGTACATGTATTTCATACCAGATAAGCAACAGTTTACATTGCATCTCAGAATCTGTTCACATCTCGACACGGCCTGTCTCGATTTGTGTCACAATATTTCGCGATGCAATATATTGCTGTTATTCAACTACTACATAAAGTTGATACGTGATTTTAATTTTTTTTCCATTTTGTTTGATTGTTATTGAAAAATTTTTGCTCTAATCTTTCCAATAAAGCACATGGGTGTCAAATATTTGACTATTGTTTTGAATATTGCATTAGTTTTTCAAATGTGGCACGGAAAAATAGCGAACACGTTTGTTTATAATAGTAGCTAAATAACAGCTTATATTGCATCGAGAAAAATTGTGAGACAAATTGAGATACGCCATGTCGAGATGTGAACAAATTTTGAAATGCAAAATAAGCTGTTGATTATCTCGTATAAAACACCAATTGAAAATACGCACTAAATACGCACATTTGAAACATTTTTGTTAGGCCAACACATAGTTGTATTTTCTATTTAGTTTGTTTGGTTGATCAAACAAGGCACAATAAAATATAACATAAAAACACTTTATTTTCAAAAAGCACAAAAATATATGGAACACATGTGATTCACTTTTTAAAAAAAATATTTCTGCATTATTAAATTGCATACATCATCTGATAATTTTTCAAAAATATTTCATATTACATACATTAAACGATAGTTTTTCAAAAGACCACAAGGCAAGCAAAAAAATAGAAGCGAAACGCAAACTGACAGAGAAGATTGATGCAGAGCGATACAAGGAGAGCAATGCAAGCAAATATTTGTACTGGGTTTTCACCTAGATTATGATTTGACTAAGTATTGCATATTTTGTAACAATTTTTTTTTTCAATTTGAAATTTCTGGTTTAAATAGCAAAACTAGATTAAGAAACATCTGCCGAAGAATTCAAATTTTGTTGAAAACTTCACGCATTCAAAAATTTTCAGTAGTATCTTGATGCACTAGATAAGTTTTAGCCAAAGCTTTGTATGATTTTGTTTAATGTTGCGTCGATCTACACATGCTGCTATTGACCAACTTCGTAGATTTCTTTTATAGCACTGAATTTCAGACCAATTTTTGCTAAAATTGCACTTGTTGACCTAATATGCAATTTTGTGGATTTGACTACTTCTTTGGTTAATTATCATGATGTTATTAATTGTTTTCGAATTTGAATCCTTTACGTGAAAGTTGGTGTTTTTTGCTGTTTTGTTCTAATCATTTTGCCCCCTAAGTCAAAATCTCTTTTGTTCTTAAATTCCAATTCACTTAAATGATTTCACTGTAAAAAAATTTTGTATTTACTCAAAACAATTTGACTGCATTGAGCACTGAACATGGCTGAATGTTCGCTGATTAGAAAAAAAAACCTCCTGGTTTGATTTTTTTTTCGGTGCTTCTGAAAATTCAATAGTTGAGTTCTAGTTGTCAACTTATTAGAACTGCGCATTTTGCTTGAGAAGTGAAGGTAAAGATTTTACTGCATCAACTTTATGCTTACTTTTGAATAATTATGCTCCAATTTAAATAGCATTGAGACAAAATTTGGCAAGCAGAATAAAGCAAGCAATAATACGGTAGATACCCCAACTGAAAAACGCAATGTGGAAACCAAAAACGGAACCCAAAAAACCCATATGTGGAATCCTGATTTTTTAAAGGCAGTTTGATACTTAACTATTCTTTTTTTCTAAATTTTCAAGTGTACAGGAGACAAGGATCCAAAAAAGCAAATGAGTTCAAAATTTTTTTTGACTAACTGGTATAAACGATTCCAAAATTTGAATTAAGTTTTTTGGCCGCAAAATACGTTGCAATTTTGACACTAATGGACAAACTTCAAAACACACTCAAACATTAATAACGAAAAAGCCAGGACCTCAAGGATCATTTTGCTTAAGTTTGATTTTTTGAGTTTCCGCAAAATTGTTTCATCGACTAACAGCAAATAATCTGCGCAATCTTCTATGAAAATGTTTGTTTTGTCTTCAATTAATTTTTTTTCAGGATTAAAAAGCCAGTTTTTATAATTATTTTCTAAATTCAGGCAGATAACGAACTGAAATGCTTTATTAATGAAGTTTTCGCCCATCTGAAAACTTACTGCAGAAAGTGAAATTGGCGTTTTTAAACGCGGTTTCTACTCGGTAAATAAATAAAACCACTACCTTTTATTGAGGCTATCTAAGATGATTCGCGTTGCTTTTTGTTCTCTGGTACAGTGTCATTATAGCCAAAAGTCAATTGGGTAACTCTTCAAACGTTTGAAGATTTCACGCAGCAAGTTATACTGCTGCATGGATTTGTCAACGGCAGTTTATGATCTACTTTCAAAAAACTTTTTGTTGAACAAAGTAAACAAAACTAACGGTTCAAATGTGATCCCATCAGTAGTGCATAGATATGGCACTAGCTCACTCAAAGCAATCCACTAGTATTTTGATGCAATATTATTATCGTTTTAATCCATATTTTATAGCCAGCGCAAAAGTTTGATCTTTCAGGCTGAAATTTTTTTTTTTAAAATTAGTTTTTAGTTTTGGCAGATTCTTTTCACGCTTTTTCAACACCAAATTTTGCGGAATTAAATTTAAGAAGTTAAAAACAATTTTTCCGTTATTTTTGGTTGGTTAGTCATTTTTGTAGACAGAATTGCTCTATTATTCTTAATTCTTTATTTGTTTAAGCGTTTGTTATGTTATCTCATCAAACTACGCACACAAATCTACGCTAATAAGAAAAAACGTTTGTGCAGCTTTTTCATCAATGTGGTCGAAACGTTCTGTTCAACTAGCACAGCAACCGGCTATCCTTGTTTTTCAATTACTGCAGTTTTTAGCACTGCCTTTTAGACGGACTCACTCCTGTCTCTGGTGGAAAATCTGCTCAATCGATATGGACATGAGCAGAATTTTAAATCTCAAAAGGATCTCTCAAAATGATGTTTCAGTATATTCGGCAAAAAAGTACACTATCTAATGCACGGATTTTCTAAACAAAACCTTACTACTCAGTCCAAATTTAGTGTCTTTTATGCTGTCATCGAAAGTTTTAGGTTTATTAGCTGCATTATTGGATCAGCGCTATATCAACAGAAATTCTTGATACTGTTGCTTAAGCTACCAGCGCAAATGAAAATTTGATGAATAGGTTATATTCGTCATTTGGTCAGAATTGCACATTTCAAGTTACAAATGGTATATGTAAGACAAGTAGTATCAACCTCGACTGTTAAATGAGACGAATGAGTCGAATATGTAACGTGATTGTTCAGCGTGTGTCAAATCGATCGTACTACTCGTATTTCCGGTATCAGACTTTGGGCCAGTAGTTTTATTAGCTAAAAAAAACCAATGTTGGAGAAGAGTATATTAATTAACCTTCTTTTCCAGCAAAATGGTTTTTGGTTTCCATGATTCAAGGCAGAATTGTGAAGTTGGAGGAGTCGGAAGATAAATGAAAATCTGGTGACTTCGTTTAAAACACAAGAATATGCAGAGTTTGTATTTACACAGATAAAGTATGCTCTTTTTGAATGTAAACTCAGTTTAAAATCTGGGCTGTTCTTTTTACTGATTGAGCGTCTTACTAAAGCAATGAGCTAGCTCATGCTATTCGGCACACACGCTTATGGCTACGCCTCCTAATCATTCTTTCAAGTTAGGCTTCCAATATCTTAAAAACTTTGACTGCAAATTATCAATTCGACTAACACTAAGATACTGCAATTAGATAGAATGAACTAAATTGACCGAATATTGCACTATGATTTGTAGAAATTGTACAAAACGCAAAACTATTTTGCAAAAAAAATTAGTTTCTGAACGCCGTATACTCATTATGGGCAATGGCTTTAAAATGTAGCTTCAAACTTTCAATTTGTTTCTTTTTATTTTCAGTTTCCGAACAACTCGGAAGCATGGCGAAATTTTCAAAAGCGTGATCCAAATCTTCAATCTGTTGTTCTATTTGAGACGATAAAAGAGCCGCATTTCTGAAGAAGTCTCCTGCTTGGTTGAAGTTCTCTTTCTCGTGATGAAGGAAGGCTAGCTCTCGTAGGACTGTATCGGAACGAGGCACTAGTTCGGTTGTGTCGTTCAGAATTCGTACAGCTTTTTCCCAGTCACCTTTTACCTAAAAAAAAGGCAAGTTAACAAGAAGGTATAAAAGCTTTGAAAGTCCACGCAAGCTGTGCCTACCTGGGTCGAATTTTCAGAAATTTCTTGATAACTTTTTCTTAGGTCGACGAAAATTAGTTTAAAAGCTCACCCAAAACACCAAGTTATCATTATTTGGGCGCAAAAAATTTCGCGCCTTAAGCAAATTTTTAAGAGTTTGCACAAAAAATGCCGTTTCAGCATGGACAGTTTCGATCAAAAAAGGCGCTCTTTCTCGGCCAGCCTTACTCAATAATTGAGGAGTTCAAGGAGCTTCTATAAATGTTTTAGGTTAGTCGACCAACAATATTACGTTAAGTAAGTAGTTCTGTCGTAAAATAGTACCAAAAGAGGAAGACTATTTGCCCCGCGACTCGCTCGTAGTGGGAGGGGGATTAACCCTACCTGTTTATCTGTTGTTCCACAATTCAATTGAAACAATAGTGAATATATGTTTTTTCACTTAAGCAGAACCACCAGCGGGTTTAGGGAAAGAGGGGAGGGATTCGATCCCGTGCCGAACCTACCAAAGAGTCCCCCTTTTATTAATTTGAGACATCCATTTTTAGCTGACGGACCTTAAGATTTTTCTAAAGGCGCCAATATTTCTTAATTTTGAGATGGAAGCTCGCGCCAAAAAAACGCGATTCTTTGGTCAACATTTTTCAAAATAACCTAAAAACGCCTTTTTTGGCCCGTTTTTTCCAGAATTTTACCTGCGGCTCTGAAAATTAGACCGAATTAGGTATTTTTAATGCTTTGGGAGAGCTCGGAAAATCAATTTTGTCAAACTAAAAAAAGGTCGACATAAATTTTGAAAAAGAGGCGGGAAAATCCTAGATCTGCCCCTGAGCAGAACACTAAATAATCTAACAGTAGCTAATTAGTTCAGAAAAACCACAAATACGAAGAACATTCACGACTAAAAAACTCATTTTACGTCATAGTCAAATTATTAACCTGATTTACTAGTCGAGCCACTTCTACTTGTGCCATGATGAAAAACCTGTCCAATGATTGGAATATTTGAAGAGCTTCTTCATGTTTACCCATTCGTGCCAACACTCGTCCTTTCTCAAACTGGACGAATTCAGATTCTAAAACAAATTCGGATACTTTTCACAATAGCTTCAAAATCTTCGGCTCTCATCCAGTTTTGCATCCTACTGGTAAAATTACAATACAAAATTGCCTAATTACTGTTCATGCAGCAATTACCATGTAAGCAATGTAGTGAAAAAATGTTCACTTGTGCATACCGACATGTTTTTTATAGTTAAGAACACCAATTCATTTTAAACCACCTTAGAAAAAATCTGAGGGAGGGAGGGACTGGAACAAATTGGTCTAAATTTATTTTGTGTTTCGAGATTCTTCTAAAAACAACCTAGATTAGTGTATATTATAATTGCAAAAATATAGTGCTTCAATCACCGATTGGTGTTTTTGAGCAACCTTTTGACAGTTCTTTCTGAAAATTACTGCTCAAACTCGTCAATATCTTTCAAGGGGGGCACTTAGCATAGTGGTAAGGCGTTCACTTTAGAATCGTCAGATCGTGAATTCGATCCCATGCCATGGCAATGAAAGTGTGTGTGAAGATCAGCTCTTACTTGACCTCTAGCTTCAGGTCTACCACAACCTGACCAAATTTGGCTGCAATAGTGGTACCACGTGAAAGTTCTAGACGCACAAAAACGGCCTTGAGTCGCAAAAAAAGAGCATTGCTCAACAAAATAACACAGTCTGGAATATGGGAGATAATACAAATGGACTATCCTCGACAGGACTGTCAAGGCCTACTGATAGCTCCTCTGCGATTCGCAGGAACTACAATTATTATTAATTATTATTATTCAAATTGAACAGATTAAATTGCTCTATCTTGCAATACTATCGTAAATGTTTAGCTTACTCGGCAACAAAGTCTCAACCTCTTCCCACAACTTCATCAATTGACCAGGTTGAGTTTCCGTTGAGTCCAGTGTATTCAGATAAGCCAGTTTCTGGCCAAGCTCAGTGGTCGGCTGGTGGCCGTAGAACACCACTTTTGTTGTAGTGCCGATGTTAATAGAGCCCCAGAACCAGGCCTCCGGCTAAACAAAAAATGAAGAACTTTAACTGCTTATTGAATATTTTTGATTTGCTAATTTAAGTGAAAAAATAAAATTGAGAATAGAAAAATGAAAAAAAAAAAACACTGAAAAACTGTTAGTTTCATTGGAAGTTTCACTGCTAGTACAACATTTTTAATATGCAGATTTCAGTTTGAAGAAACAAATTTGGGTCTTATGCACTAAAAGGCCCAAAATCAGTATTTCCAAAATTTGATATTAAATTCATGTTGTTGAATATGATTGGCTAATGGCCCGGCAATTCAAATAAAAAATCCAAGCAGATAAAATGATTAGCAGAATTGACCGAAAATACAGCAGTGTTCCGTTGAAGTCATTTTACTGAACTTTTCTTTTCTAGACATAGTTTCGCCAGTGGCCTAAAATGTTTTTGAAACGAAAAAATGATGTCATTCTACTTCTTATAGAACATTTTTAATTTGCTGATTTAATTTTGAAGAAAAATAAATTTGGAACACAGAAGCTTGCGAGAACACTATAAAAACACTTGCCAGAACACTACAAAAAGCAGCTCTGTAAAGTGCGATAATAAATACTAGAAATAAGCCTCGAATCGGTAAAAATTCGGCTACCTTTGAGATTCGCACCACCGCCCTAGAGATTAAGAGTCAAATGCATTAAAAACTCAGCCACGGAAGCTTAACAAGTACCAAACACTGGCCATAAATACAGCAGAGAACAGATGATATGCAATTTCCAATGCTACAGTGAAATTTCCAATTAAGTGAACACTTTTATTTGCGAGTTAGGTTAGAAAAGAAGAAAGTTCGTAATAATACACTTAACTGATCGCAAGTGTAAACAGAAAAATAAGAGCAAAAAAGAAGAAACTTTACTGCTTATAGAATATTTTCAATATGCTGATTTGTTGTCTACAACATTTTAACACATGATTTATAAAATTTGATATATCAATACGAAAGTAGCTTGGCTATAGCCTATTATTATAACTCTTCTACTATGAACGTTTCAAAAACATAAATCAAGCCCTGAGAGTCTATATTTTTTCATAAGCATTGCGCTATTCAAGCCAGCTCAATAATTACACCGATCCCTTGACATAAAACTGCTTAATCATTTACTCACAATGTGGACGATATCTCCCTTTTCCAAGATACACTCCATCGGCCTGTTTTCATCGTCTCTTCTCAATTTCGGGTAGATCAACTGAAACCACGAGAGCATGTCCACGTCATGCTCGTAGCCTAGAATCAACAATTGAGAAAATTACAAAAGCAGCAGGTTGCTGTGCAATCACATAGGTTTCCGATACAGTCACATTTTAAAAACATTTTGAAAAAAATCAATCATTAGCTTCTAAAAACAACAATTTAGTCACTTTAATCTTTCAAACGACTTAAAATTTATGTTAATTCATGTCATTGTCACGATAAGCTCTGAAAAGCAAAAACTGACAAAATACTAAGTTTTTTAAATCAGAAACTCAAACTATTTCTCCGAGTTTTTCATTGCAATCCAAATTATGACTGAAAGCGCTTCATCGTGATATATCACTCAACACACCAAGGTACGCATGAAGTAGCGTGAAAAAAAAACATAAAACAACAGAAATTGGGAAAAGTGTCAATGAACTCAAGAAAACCGAAAAAAGTTATTGAAAAAATTCGAAGGAAAAATATATCGCGTTGCAGCTCTGAGTATTTTGAGAAAATTTACAATTAATGACACTTTTTTCATAAAACTAACAGAATTAGAGAAAAATAGATCACACTATCACGTTTTCGCTCCCGCTGGGAAATCTGAAAGTTTAAATCAACTGTGGAAACTAAAAATTATTCACAATTTTTCACGCCATTAGCAACTGCTTTTTTGCAGAGCTTAATTTGTTTTTCTTTCAACAAATGATTTTGAATTTCAGAGAAATCAAAAGTCAAGCTGCGAAAAATTCATTTCATGAAAAACTACTGCCTAAATAATTATCTTCATTTCGCTTTTTTATACATAACAATCAAAACGAGGGCAGTCTGTATTTAGACAACCGCGTACTCCTACTCGTCAGTAAGCAGACAAATACTGTATTAACCAATCGAGACAAGGAAAAAATTAATAAGTAATAATTATTTATTTCGAAAGTTCGCTTTCCCATCTCGATGCTGATTGGTTAATACAGTAATTGTCTGTTTACTGGCAAGTAGGAATACACAGTTGTCTAAATACTGCTACGTAACCCAACCAAAAGTGTAAATCAGTTTAAATATTGCCACAATACAACTACAATTGAGAGGACATCAAAAGGCAGTGAGCAAGTCTGAAGAGCTAAGATGCAGTAGCAATTCTCTTGAGAACTCGTGATCCTTTAGACTGAAAAAAACTACAAATACAAAAAAACTACCCGTTGTTGAAAAAGCCGTTAAATAGGTCTGAAATTTGGTCAGTACTGTTCAAACTAGCCTGCAGGTGGCGTGACTGAAGTTGGATACACAAACAGTCTGGTTCTTCCCTTCACAACTCCAACCATAGTGGGACCAGATGGGCTCATTTTGAATCCAGTCGACGAGAGAGTTGTGCCCAGCTGCAGGTCAGACTTGGCAGAATTCTAAACAGTTAATTCATTTTTCAATTTTTATATTCGGTTACACAACCTCATTGAGAGTTGCAAAAAATTGGAAAAACAGAATAAATTAAAAAGAGCATGACCTATTTCAGAAAACTTTTGCATGCAAAAACTAATTTTTCAGACAAAAAATTTGACTCAAGGCCAACTGAAAGCTCAAGTTTGCATGCAAAAACTGGTCAAAATTGGCAATTCGCTCTTTTAAATTATTTCTGTCTGTTCCAAATTTTTGCTATTAATTGTATCTTCCGACATGGCAGCTTTGGTTCCTTCAAGAATTACCACCCAGTTACACCGCCAAACTTCACACAAAGTAACAAAATTACAGAATGAGGGCCTTTAAATTTGTGTCCAAGGAACATTTTAGTGGAACTAATATCAGATTTTCTGTGACAATATCAGACAAGATTTTCTGTGACAAGAAAGGGTGGCTAAAGTCAGAAAGTCCCCGGCTTTCACCTCAAAAAGCTTAACCACTGTTTGACCTCAACATGTATTAATATATATTTCATAAAATTAAACTAACCCATTCGTCTGGGAAGAACGTCTTAGTCTTGAGCAGTGATTTCCTGTTGCTGGATAGAATTTGTGAGTCCCGTATTTGCCTATAAAACAGAATCAATGTTTCTCTTCACTTCGATAATATTAGAAATAAAAAAAACTGATCAAAAAAGAAAGTGTAATGTATTATAGAAAAATCTTTCGGAACATTAAATTAAGTACCAACAAAAATACTTTTTCAAAATCAATTTTATAGCCATTTTTGAAAATTTTGGACTTTTTTAAAACGATCATTGCGTGAGTTTCCCCTTTATTTTATGAAGCGAAGCAATGCAGTCAACTCAACAATGAAAGCTTTACTAGACAAAAAACGGGTTTTTACTATCATACCCAGCCTAATAAAAATATAGACCCTCCACGCTATGACTTTACAATTATGGGAGGTTATATTTTCCTGTGGGACTATAATGGGAAAAAACCTATCAACTAACCATGGCTCGCCTCTCAAATCAGTTTGACCAATTAGATTCTTCAGAAAATTACTGAAAGTTGTCTCTCGTAACTCAAAATCCGAATCAACCGATCGTCCGAACTGAACAATCGTATCTTTAAAGGTCGAGTTCAAATTCGAATACTGCCACGCATTAGGGTGTACCCAATCATTCAAAACATCGCCGTAAAACAGCACCGCTTTTTTGTTGCGGTAATCCGAAATAAATTTAGCCTTTGTAGCTTCGTGTAAGAAAAATCGACGTAAATCACAAATATTACCCGAGTCCAGTTGACCAGGTAAATCGCTCTGACTATTTCGTTTCAAATTATCTTTCATAACCCCAGTGAAATAAGACAAATCCAAGTTATAAATACTGGCAAACGGATCCGAAACAATAGCTTTATTGGCTACGTCTTTAAGAGATATTTCTGGACTTGTGTCGCTTGAGTGGTTTGAAATCAGACGGAAAGCATAAAGACAAACTAAAATAGCTATAACAAAATATGCTAAAATATGCAAATTTTTCACATTATGCTTGATGTGTGTTATTTTTTCCTGACGTATTGTCGCCTCATCCGCAAATCGAGCTCCATTTTGGTCGTTCAGAAGATTTTCGACATTCTGATATCGTCTTTTAATGTCAAACATTGTCCAGAAGAAATTGCGAGTATATTTATCATGTGACCTGGAAAAAACATGTTTGATAAGTGGAATCAATTTCCATAAAAATTTCAACGATTTAACTTTACTGAAGGGTAACTCGAAACAACTAATAAATAACTTTATTTTTAAAACGTCATCAGGAAATTAAAAAAACTTTGCAAAGAACCAGGGCAACCAGGGGTCTACTTAGCACGCTTCTGGCAATGAAACAGAATTCGAAAAATAAGATTTACAGGAAAATGGAATCTAGAAGTACCTGTTTGGCAGCTATAAGAAACAAGTTAAATTAGGAAAACTGAAAATAGCCATTAGATAAATTTTAAAAAGCGTAAATGAACTCAAGGAAACAAAAAAAATGATGCACAATCATCGGTTTCAGAGAGCAAGTAAAACAATTGCAAGCCAACATCAACTTGAAAAGTTTTTGATTAAATTTTTCCTATCGAAAAAAACCCTTTGTGAAAAACTGGATTGTTATCATTGTTCGGACAACGACACGAACAAGGCAGTAAGGAATTGTAGCGTAGGTTGGGTTTTTCGCTCAACTTTAGATAAGGCTCATAAGGGGCGAAGTTTTTTTTGATTCTGATACCAAAAAATGAAAGCCCTGTTTATCACAAAGTTTATCGAAATTTGATATCAGACTGCTGGCGGTACCTGTTTGATAATTTTCAATTTTGTTGTACTGATGCCAAATGAAATAGGTAATTTCAAAAATTTACAAATTGGGCTTTATCCAAAACCTTAGTTGCTGCTCTCTTAAAATATGAAGGAAAATTTTTGTGATTTACCAATTTTCCCAGAGACAACTTTTTTCAAGTTTTAAGGCGTAGCATCTCATGTACGGAGTCTTCCCACAACCTATTGTCACGATTAAAACCTTGATATCAGATTGAGTTGTTTTCGAGAAGAGACAAAAATTGTCACAAATAGAACAAGAAATAAAAAAAAACGTCTTTTCTGAAGGCTATAACCTTTTTGTAAGAAAACTTAGACGTGAACGCTTACAATGGAGAGCTTCGCTCAACCCCCTTTTTTTGACTGAACCCAAAATCTCAGGTTTGGGATGTTAATTTTCGATCTAAGTCAAAAATTTAAAATCTCATATTTTTCCGAGCGTAATTTTTTTAGCGAAAAAATTTGTGCGTATCAGCTCAAGCAGAGGAGCTTTCAACAACCCGTTCTTTCCATTGAATCCAAAATCTCAGATTTAGGAGGGTAGTTTTGGAGAAAAGATGAAAAAAAACGGCCAAAAAATCAAAAGCCGTACTTTTCCGAGAACCGTAACTTATGCGCGTAAAAAAGGTCATATCTGTAAATGCACTACAACCCGTTCGACCTATTGAATCCGAAATCTCCGTTTTTAGAACGGTAAAAAATCGAAATTTGACTTTTCCGAGAACCATAACGTTTTGGGCATAACCGCTTAAGTAGGCAGCTTCACGAAACCCTTTCTGCCCATTACAACCAAAGGCTAAGATTTGGGAGGGTGGTTTTCGAGAAAAGTCAAAACGTTTGAACGTTCGAAAATCAAACTTTAGTCAAAAGTCACAAATACGACTATTGCGAGGGTTAAAATAATTTTCGTAACAAACATTTTGAATTAGCCACTAAAACAGAGCTTCCCAGAACTTAGTCGGAGAGAATCCCACAACCCGTATTCTCGAACCAAAAGAAAACCTCAATTTTGGGAGGGTAATTTCCGAGAAAAGTAAAAAAAAAAGTTCACGAAAAACGGTTAAAAATTGAAAATTTGACGTTTCCGAGCGCCATAACTTTATTGTATAAAAATTGTGCGTAACCGCTTATGCAGGGGACCCTCCCACAACTCTATCTAGATTTGGGAGTGTAGTTTTTCAGAAAAATCAAGTGTCAAAAAACGGTAAAAAAATCGAAAATTTCCATAAAAAACCAGACTTTTCCGAGAGCCAATACTTTTTGTGTAAAAAAACATGGGTTTGGCAGCTGAAAATGATTCGGGAGGGTGGTTTTCTAGCTTCAGTGGGCAAAATTTTGCATGCAGGGGAGCTTCACTTAAGCCGATCTACCCACTGAGCCCAAAGTTTCAGGTTTGGGAGGGTAGTTTTTGAGAAAAAATCAAAAAGTTTCAAAAACGGACACAGAATCGAAAATTTGACCTTTCCGAGGGTCAAAACTTTTTGTGTAGGGGAGCGTTCCACAACTTTTTATATCCATTAACCCAAAATCTCAGATTTGTGAGGGTCAAAAATCAAAAATATAGGTAAAAAAATCGCCCACACACTTTTTCGAAGGCTGTAGAAAGTGGGGCAAGGTAAAAAGCGCTTAGGAAATTACGTACTCCAAAGCCTAGTGAGCGGACTTCCCATTGGTACCATTTAAAAAAAAACTATAAAGTAGTTTTTGAGAAAAACTAAACTTTTTGAAAAAAGTTTCCAAAGCGTCTCAAAAAAAATAAATAATAAATTTAAAACCCAATCCCAATATCTTTTTCATACAGGAATGTCTCTTTTTTGCAATTTTGATTTTTATTGAGCTTTTGAACACAAATTATGCATGCACAATTTATGCATGCCTCGAGAAAATCCCTCTAGATCCGCCCCTGAGTATAAGTAGCTTGAAATCAGAAAATATAGCGACTCTTCACTATAAATTTGTCCGTCAGAGCAGGGGCGGATTTACGGGGGGGGGGGGGGGGGGGGGGCGGTTTGCAGACGCCCCCCGCCCTCAGGGATTCGACCACTTGCCGACCCAAAGGGTCCCTCCCCTTGGTACTTTTGAGAAATCCAATTTTGGCCAACCGACCCTAAAATTTTTCTATATATACTAACTTTGAGGGGGAGCGCGCTTTTTTTTTATCAAAATTTTCAAAAAAGTGCCCAAAAACGGCTTTTTTGACCTGTCTTTTTAAAAATTTGCCTGCGGTTTTCAGTGCTTTAGGAGAGCTCGGAAAATCAATTTGGTCGAACTAGCGTTTTTTTTTTTGAAAATTCGCCTCCCCCCCCCCCCCCTCGAGAAAATCCTAGGTCCGCCACTGCGTCATAGTAATAACTTAAAACGAAGTCTTCTCGACGGCGAGAAAACTTTCAAATAAAACATTTCGAAATATTTAAATATCGATCAAGCCAAAATAGCAGGAGCCTTAATATGATGTATCACTCAACCCCATCAAACGATTGGTTGTGACTCCTGATTTTCCAAGAAAATGGAGATGATTTTTCTCCAAATACAAAGTTCCTCCCTACATAAAAAGAAGCGTCAAAAGAAGCGTCGATGAAAAAAAAACGAACTTCCTTCCAAATAAAAATTTCCTCCTGACTTCAAGATCGGGAAAACAACACACAATGAAACTTCAACTGACCAAAACAAAAATCTGATTTAAAAACTTAATCAAAAATTGAATGTCAAAAATTTACTGAACTAAAAGTATCACAAGAGAAACAAAAAAAACTCGCTTTTGGCAAACACAAGGAAGAACACTTCTATTTCAAAACAGCGGGCTAACAAAAAAAATAAGACTTTATATTACCCAGGGGAATTGAAAAATGAGTGCCAAGAAATTGACTCTGAAACTTTGTCGAGTTTTACAGTTTAGAGTTCTAACATTTAAATTAAAGTCTAAAAGTTTAGCTGAGCGGCGGTTCTCCTTGTTTCGCTCTTCTTAATTCTATTAACCGAAATCGCAGTTTTCTATTCAATTAGGAAAACGAATTTGAGAAGCAGCGAGTCCAACATGCAAATCCAGAAAAGGTTAAACCTTTCCTTAAAAGAAGAACCAATTTGCTTGAATGAGGAAAACTCGCTTAATTTTTCAACACTTCACAAGCACTTCGTTCATGAACACTTAAAATTTTCGCTTATCAGCTCAGGAACAATCAAAATGTAGAATCCAAATGGCATAATTACCAAATGGCATAAACAATTTCGCTAAATGTGTGAAAACTTTGAGGCGTGAAAATCTAGGATCTTTCCAAACAGTTTTCACGCCTTATTTTGTTCACTTATCAACAAATTACATATCACTCTTAAACATTTAATTCAAACAGAACTATCAGATTCTTAAAAAATAAGCCAAATTGAAGTTTTTGAAAGGGAGAGGGTTGCAATTTGTATTATGACGGATATTTTTATTTAAAACAATCGAAGCTACAACCAAAATTTTTTTTGGCTTTGTACTGAAACTGAATGCGGCTTAAGGCTCACTTCAAATATTGAAATGAATACCTTGTTAACTCATCCAACTTCACATGCCCATATGCCCGACTCTAACCGCTATTAAGATCTCACTTTAATACCTCAAATTCTTACGGAAAAATTCCCAAAACCCACTCGACTCAGAAGGCAAAGTTACAAAAAAATTCTAGCCGGAACAAGTGATACAAGCCTCTCCTCATTTAAAAATGTAAAACCGACACAGTATCGCCAACGATACACAATGGTGCCAAAAATCCCCTGAACTATCGAATCGTTAAGAAACGCAGGAGGAAAAGAAATTTGTTAAAAATCAACAGAGAGACCTACAACTTAAAATCAAAAAAATTATGTGAGCTTTTGAGCTAGGATTCAAGGTGAGATACAACATTTCTGTCACTTCTAACCTAGACATTGTTATCAGTTTTTGAGATGACCACTATGAGCAGAGTTTCAAAAATCTTGTGTTTCAGGCAGCAATGAAAACAGACTTTCGAACAGTCAAAATTCGAGGATTTTTATTGCTTTTCTCCAAAGCAATTTTGTCAAAAATAAACGGTTTGGGATTATTTACACATTACAAAAATGGTAAAGACTTAACTAATTTATTCAAAAGTTCATTACCCTAGTTTTTCTATCAGTAATTTATGTCCGCCAAAAATTTCACAAGGTACTTCATGAAACATCGACAAGATTACTGGTTTCCACAATTTACAAATCATACTGTCTTTTTAAACTATTTTGAGGCCACTTGGTTGTATCAATTTCTACCAAATATCTACAACGTTTATGCCGGGCGGAGCACTCGGAGGTCGTCGAATTTGCCCAAGTTTTTGGGTGTTTGTTAA